AGGGGAGGGGAGGGAGGGCCTGGGAACCCGGAAGGTGGGAGGAATGGAGAGCTGGTCTTCCTGGGCTTCCAGGAAGAAGACAATCTGAAATATCTAAGAAAAAATGATTTTTTTCTCCAAGCTAAACTGCATTTTTTATTACCTGCATGCCAAGAAAATGCTTAACTGCCAGTGAAAAAGAATTTCCAAAAACTTCAACGAAAACCAGTTAGTGAGGAATGTGCTTTATCAGGGAATTAGAAACCATGACTTTAACCCTGACTAAAGATTAACAATAACCACATGATTAAGCTGGAACTATGGTGCTGGGTAAAAAAGTTGGAAGCATTAAGAAAGGGTATGGCTGGCCCATTGGTTACGTTAGGGCTGAGCAGGTTAGTGAAACAATTGGTTAGTATCCTTGCTGAGCACTGGCTAAGCACTCAACCACTCACTGAAAGGTTGGTAGTTCAAACCCACCCAGATGGCAACCTGCTTTCAAAGTCACCCCAATTGCAAACCCCACGGAGCAATCCTACTCTGGCACAAACAAGGTTGCCAGGAGTCAAGTCAATTAGTCTCATTTTGGGGGTGTTGGCATCCATCAGATTCCACACATTGTTTCGTTGCTGTTGTTGTTTCAGGGCACTCTTGGGTCCCCAACTCCTGAAAACCCTTCCAGGCTATTTTGTGATTGAATGTAAACTGTGATCTAATGTTATCTAATTGGTCAATCAGTTGAAAAGGGAGTTTCCCTAGAGCAGGGGTTCTCAACCTGTAGGTTTCGACCCCTTTGGGGGGGTCGAACAACCTTTCACAGGGGTCGCCTAATACATCCTGCATATCAGATATTACATGACGATTCATAACAGTGGCAAATTACAGTTATGAAGTAGCAACAAAATTGATTTTCGGGTTGGAGGTCACCGCACATGAGGAACTGTAGGAAAGGGTTGCGGCATCAGGGAGGTTGAGAACCACTGTCCTAGAGTGGAAAAGAAACATTTGGCAGAACTTCACTCTGCACTCTTCTGTTCACCTGATCTGCATCTCATGAGAGGCAAGCTTGCAGCCTGACCTATGGATTTCGGATTTGCAGTTCCCCACAATCTCATGAGGCAACACCTTGAAGTTAACCAATCTCAATTTCTCTCTCTCCTTCTCTTTAGTTACCCTTGAGTGTGTGAGGGGACTTCCCAATGTTCATAGAAAAATTCCATTATCTTTCATTCCATTTTCCATGGACTTTTTGAAGTCCTCTTGTATTCCAACTCATGGCAAACCCACGGAGTCGGAGTGGAACTACACTCCAAACAGTTTTCAAGGCTGTGCCCTATGATCGGAAGCAAATGGCTCGGCCTCTCTTGAGGCAACCCTGCACAGCTCTGAACCAACAACCTTTCGCTAGCAGTCAAGCCCTTAACCATATACATCCCTGAGTTAATTTATCATTAAAGCCTTACGCCACAGGGACAGTTCTGTGGGAAGACCGAGTCTGTCCACAGTCAAGAAAACATGGAGAATTATTAATTTCTGCCAAATTCCACTTGCCTGTTAACTTGAAAACATCCATGGGACAAGACAATCACTATTCAGATTCTAGTCCTCAAAATGAACTTTGCACAACACCGTAGAGAGGGAAAGGTTAGCCCTGTAAGAGGACAAAGCAACAGTAACAACAGCAAATCTACGGATTTCCACTTAGGGTGGTGTCATCAGCCTATTAAAAGATGATAACATGCTAACAAACTCTAATGCCCCACCCCTTTGGAACTTTTGAGTGTGGCTGGAGTGAAAGTTGTCAGTTTTCCATTCTATAATTTATGCAGTTTTGTTTCATGACATTGGCTGCAATCCCTACAATGTAGCAGACAGCACTCCTCCCCACCGAGTTCGTTGTATCCAGTCGACCATCTTTTCTGCCCCCTCCTGCCCTGTACATTTTGTTTGGGAAAGTATACTTTGGAAAGTATACTTGAAAACAAAGTATACTTTCCCAAACAAAATGTACAGGGCAGGACGGTATTGTTAAATGACTTAAGCTGACTGGTTATACAATCCAAAATCGATGAAAATACGTTACAAATTAAGTACTTAACTTGAAGGGATAGCTTTAGACTTTATATCAATTAATGGAGGTTGATACATATTCTAGCTTAATGATGTTTCATTTTCCAAATAACAATCATCTATCTTGTTATTTTTATTTTTAAATCATCTGTGCCTGATTTTCTACCTTTAACCTCAAGGGGTGCGGTCTCACCCACGATGCACTCCAACTAACTGCTCATCCCCTCTGCCTGCATTGTCCCAAACCTCCCTGCCGTCAAGCCTATGCACACGCATGGCGATATGTGCTGGGGACAGGGTGGAGCGGACCCTGTGCGTTTCAGAGACTGTAACTGTTTACAGGAGTCAGAGAGGCCGGTGTTTCTCCTCCGGAGGGGTGGCATTCGGATCACAGCCCAACTTCTAAGCACTCCTGCCACCAGGACTCTGGTTGCTTAGTAGGAGTGTCTGCTTGTTCCCGGTGGCATCTGAGAGCAAAGAAGTAGGAAGCTGTGTCTGTGTCACTGAGGGTTGCTGCCTTTCCATCCTTCCTTCCCCGGTTCTTCCTTCAACTTTCTTTTCAGGAATCCTGGAGGAAAATGGGATGTTCCCTCCCAGTGGGGTGTATTTCTAAATCTACCCCCACAGAATTTCATAAGACATTCGCAGCATGGTCAGAGTGTTCTAAACAGATTGTTAAGTGTCATTGCAGTTGATGTGGCTCTCGGGGGCTCCCTTTGACAGAGGGCTGTCCCGCAGGGCTTTCTCTCTTGGCTGTAAGCTTTATGGAAACAGGGCGCCAGGCCTTTGGCCCCGGGCTGGATCTATGGGTTCTGTGGTTAAGCAGAGCAAGGCTTTTTCATTCAGGCACTCAGGAAATATCCAACGAGGGCCCGCTTGGTGCAGGCAATTGAGAGACTAAGGCTGAGAAGACAAACATAGGCCTGCTCGCTTGGAGAATAAAATGAGCACATAAAACAAAATAGTATTAAAGAAAACACACACGGGTGAGCCCTGGGGATGTAAACCATGCCGGGACTGCACTGTGGTCCCGGAGGGGCTCTCTTGGCAGCGGGTCTGAGGAGAAGCCTGCCAGAGAACACCCCATGGGGTGCAGCTCTATCCAGACTCGCTTGGCATGGCCAAAAGGCCAAATCGGAATCAAAGGCCATCGGTTTTGGTGAATGCACCACATCTGTGCACATCAGGGCCGGGGGAGGGATGCCAATTTGAGAGAACACAGCCAAGGAAAAGACATCTGTGTGGTGCTCCCGGTGATGCGGAGACTCAAATGACCTTGCTCTGTGGCCGGGCAGCCACGTGGCTTTGAGCCTCAGCTTTCTCATCTGCACTAAGGGCCTAAGGACAGAAGAATGTAAACGCGCTAGGACCTGGCACACACTGGTTGGGAACTGTGGCCACTGCACAGGGAAAGGGAGAGGTCTGAGATACTTCGGAAAGCACGCGGGGGGTGGGGTGAGGCGGGGGCAGCTCAGAAACATAAGGTTGGGTAATTTCTACAATTCCAAGAACCCTCTTCCCTATCAGATTTCGAGTTCTATCACAGAAGCCTGGGGAAGTTTCCACTCTGATCTCCCGCCCATCTCCAGGCGAGCAGAGGAGCCTAGAGCCAAAGAGCTATAGGTGCATGGGGGTCGGGGACCACCCGGTCACCTAGCGATCGCCCGCGCGGTGCGGGTGGCCTGTCCCTGCGGCAGCCATCTTGGGTATCCTCCCCGTGGCGAATTTCGTCACGCTGTCTCCGGGGACAGCATGGCAGAGCGCGCGGGGCGGAGATGGATCGAGTCCCCTCCCCTCGGAGGACAGAACCGCTGCATCGTGGGGGCGCAGCGGACGTGGGGTCCTCCAAGTGCTGGCGGTGGGCATCTGCTAGATAGGGGGATGGCGGGGGTCTCCAAGGCACAGGGACCCCAAATCCGGTGCGCCCCTGGCGCGGAGACCGGGCGGGCGACCTTGGAGCCCGGGGGTCTCCCTGCAGCTGGCACGCGGGTGGACGACCCCAGCTCCAGCCTGCGCGCTCCGCACCTCCGCAGACTTTCCCGCGGAACCCCCATACGGCCCGGCCGGCCCTCCACCGGCCACTCACCGCTTCCCTGGCCGGCAGCCGATGCCGCTAGCAGGTCCTGATCAGCGCCGCCTCCGCTGTCACCGGAAACGCTTCTCCCGCCACGGCAGCCCCGCGCGCCACCGCCCTGAGCACGTCCCCGACAGCCTCGCGCGCGCGCGCGCGCCGGGCCGGGCACCTAGAGGCCGAGCTGGGCCCCGCCTGCGGCCGCGCGCAGGGACCTCCGACCCGCCCTCCAAGTCTCCACGCGGTCACCGATGTGGCCCCAGTCCTGGCTCCATCCCCTCGGGCCTACTGCATCTCCATCCTCCACTCCCAAGTCCCTGCTCACAGTCAGTGAAGAGCAATCCAGCTAATGCCCAAGGTTTCCGCGCTGCTAACCTAAAGAGTGCCGGTTCAAACTCACCAGCCGCCCACCACGAGACTGATGAGGTTGATCTACAGCCTCAGAGACCCACAGGGGCAGTTCCACTCCCTCCTATAGGATCTCTGTCAGCGGGGGTGGATGGATGGCAGAGAATTGAATTGTAGGATCGCTGGGGTGGCACGTAGGAGCCCTGGTGACACGTTGGGCTGCTAACCGCAAGATCGCCAGTTTGGACTCACAAGCCGCTTAGCCAGAGACAGATCAGGCTTTCTACTCTCTTAAAGAGATACAGTCTCCGAAACTGTATCTTCAGAGGAGGGCCCGCGGGGAAGTCTGCGGAGGGGCAGAGCGCAGGCTCCGGGCGGGTGGTTCTGTCCTGTCTGATCGCCGAGTCGGAATCGACTCGATGGCGGGGTTTGGTTGGGGGGGTTTGTGGTGTATATATGACATATGGTGGTGGATCCCTGGTGGCACAGGGGTTACTCTGAGTCAGAATTGACACACGGCAGAGGTTTTGCTGTTGACGGCTACTCTTCGCTATAGGGTGCTTTGAATTGGAATCCACTCGACGGCAGTGAGTTGAGTTGTGCCATATGCCCAGTGCTGGGCTCAAAAAGAAAAACTCATCCCAAAGTCCCACCATTTGCAATTATGGGTGGAAATATGAGCAAGAAAAGGAAATACGGTGTGCAGACGTGGAAACAAGTAATGACAATGTTTAAGTTCAACTCGATACAAAATTGCAACAGTATCATGTGGGATACTAAGTGCTAAGAGAGTGGTTCACCTTGTGAATGGGAGGTTGGGGGGGTGTCGGGTCAGGAGGTCCACCAGATACAATGTATTGGTTTTCTGCTCCACAATTATGATCCATCATAAGCAATCACAAAAGCTCAGGGGCACACAGCACTAGACTTCTAATTTTGTTCATAGGTCTACGGGCCGACTGGGCAGTTCTACTGGCCTAAGCTAGGCTCCACAGAGCTTACTCACACGTTTGTGTCAACCCTGGGGGGGGG